ACACAGGAGAGAACCAACAAACAACTCTACTCACATACTACACCGAACCAGGCAGGACTTGAACTCAGGCCGCATTGGTGAGAGGCGGCACATTAGCATCCCTATCCCTGGGAAAACAAATAAACACGACAATCAACAAACATCATTTCAAGTATGCCATGCTTATTTTCCTGTAATTTTTTATATATTTCTTTGAAGCCTCAAGCATGGAATATACCACACAGACCAATGACTCCCAACCGAGGGAGTGACAGTATTGATGGTTTTACATTCATGCCCCAGGCGGGTAGTGTTGGGCCGGCTATTATGTATACCAGTCAACAGGCCTCTAAACGAGGCTACCTTGTTATGAAAGGTGAGTTATTCAATTAATAATTATACAGCTTCTCATTAATCCCATATAGGTAACTGTCCAATTATTTTCTTAATTGGACAGGTCTTAATTTTGTTGATATGGGATTAATTAGGCAGCTATATAATTAATAGGTAATGGGATTTCATGCTCCCCCAATCAAGAAATAATTAGACTTGAAATATTCCTCTGACTGCCAAATTGGAGTCCTATTACATATACATACTGGATTCCAGTATTTTTTCCTTGGTTTTAATTCCACGTTTTGTGATACGAAATAAAAGATTGCAGCGTTACATGTTGCTCCTTTCTCTCGTGCTGGTCACTCAATCTTTGAGTTTGCTACAATAAAAAATAGCAATATTCTCTTTCTCAGGTCATCGAAACAAGTGGAAACGAATGTATTTTGTATTGGATGGTCAAGAACAGAAACTTTCTTTCTATGAAAACGAAAAGGTATGTTCATACTTTACTCCTGAATTAGCCTCCGTAGCGGCTCTTTGCGGAGGGAGGCGGGGAACTCGGGAGGAGGGAAGAGAAGAGAGCTCCCTCCCACTGATCTTGTAAAGTGCCATTGAGCTCCTGGAAATGGCGCCATATAAATTCATCCTTCCCTTCTCCCCATTTCCCGCCCCCTTCCTAAAGTACTGCTGCGCAGAGCATTGGATATTTTTAAAATTTTGCATATGGAAAGTACATCGTACTAGAAGTTAAATGAGCAAATGGGGCTCCCCGAGTTCGTTTAGCCATCAGAATGTGTGAACGGTGAGACGGACGACTTCTATCTAACGAATTCCTTTGCGCGCTGATCTTTTAAAGTTTCATTCTTCTCCATTTTCATATCACACACAAAAGATCGAAGAAATGTTCTTGTTTTAGAATATCTATGTTAACCTTACCTCACCGAATTCTTGTAGCGAACGAAACCAAAAAGCTTGCTGGACTTGACATTATCTACGGTGTATGTCGTACACGAGAACTTTTTTGGCAGGTAAGCTGTTTGTTAAAATGGAAAGAGTATCAGTTTGATAAATATGAGATAAAGTACAGTAAAGTCACTAAACCCGTGAAATAAATATTAGACTAATACGCACTGTTAGTAGACCCAAATTCCATCGTTTTCTTTTATTGCTGTGTTATTTTTTTCGCCTCTTTTTTCACCTTTAGGCTAAAATTTAAAACAGGTTCTTATTTTATCGAATAGAGTCCAAACTAAAAGTATAAATCAAAGGAAATAAGCTCTACAAAGATTTTACACACAGTAAACTGTGAATTACATAGAGTGTAGCTTTCAAGTGCATATAGGATTTGTATGAACCTTCTATGGCTAACTTGGAAAAATCTAGGTTCTTTTACGCGGTTTTTTTACTGTATTCTGAAACCAATACATTTTTTTCAGACCTAATTGTTTTCAAGTAGTTGTTCGCGCCCTAAACGAGTCCCGGATGACATATCTGTGCGCTGATACTCAAGACCAAGCAAATGTAAGTCACTAGTACTGGGTTCCCTGTGTTAAATGACAGACCAGCTTATCTGAAATAGTGACGTAGAAATGACGTCACTGCAAAACTGACTAGGAAAAACTGGCCAGTGAAAATATATAAACTCGTTAGTTATTGTGTTCCTGTTATTATCCTCTTATTAGTAACGTTGTTTTCCATTTTGTCGCCTGGAAATCAAGAATTTCTTGTTAACAAATAGACTTCCGTTTTTTATTTGTCTGTCCTCTTATTGACGATAAATTGCGTCATCAAAATGTCAAAGTAGTGTGGACCGCATACTACTTTGACAATGTCATGACGAAATTTATCGTCAATAAAAGGACAGACACTTTAAAAACCGATGTCTATTTGTTTTTTACCATAACAAAACCGATAAAACTTCTCATTTTTAGCGATCAAAACAACCAACGGAAAGAGTGCACACTCATTGACATCAGCTTTATCTGTCTGTCCTCTTATTGATGATAAAAATAACCAATCAGCGCGCGAGAAATTTGTAAATTATTGTCAAAAGGAAAAGGGACACCTCAGTAAATTTCCTAGATTTAATTGGCTAAAAAATATTTCTCAGATCAGATAGTACGTCACAAAGAATCCTCAGACGCGTTCGGACTTGTTTGGCGTCAAATATAAATCCCGTGTAGACTGAATGGCGTCTTTGGCTTTCAACAAAAGGCAATTCGCCATTACGTCTGGATGGTACCAAAAAGCCCGTGCATGAAACTAGAAGACTGACTGATAAAGTTCTAAATTCTCCTTACCTAAAGTTAATATTTAGACTCATGGAGTAGGGAGTATTGATGATTTAATCAGCGTCATTGTCTTGGGACTTTACCTTTAAAAGATACAAAAGCTGACTAATGGCATTGGCACGAACTGCTTATTATAAAACAACCTGTTTGTACGAAAACACCTGAAACTTCCTTCGATTTCTCTGCACTGATAATTGTTCTCTAACTTTAGGTTGTCACAAGAGCCGTTACATATTTATTCATTAGTACTGAACATTTTTTCTATCATGCTAACCGTTCCTTCAAACCCCAAGGAATGGATGGATGCTATCAAGAAGTTTTGTGGCAAAGCTAAAACAGCCGATGTTGGAGATTTGGACGTGAAGCAACTACGTAGCCTAGAGCTGAACGTTATTGAAGCTCACAAATTACCCCCCAATAAAGTTTCTCATGTCTACTCGATCATTTCATTAAACGAAGTAAAAACTTGCCGGACAAGAACGTTCGAAGGCCAAAAACCTATCTGGAACGAAGACTTTAAATTCAAGTAAGTACCTAGTGTTATGTTAAGTCACTTATCTTTTAGTTAGATTTTTTTCAGTATGAATACATATTGGCCTTGTTTTTTGAGAGTAATAATTAGTATTGTGGTTAGAAAAATCTGTAACTCGTTTCATGATCGATTTTTGCAGAGGATGGAATGTGAGCAAAAATTGAACATTATTGACAGCTTGTGGGTGGGTTGATGTACGTAAATCACGATGATTTTGGAAAAGCAGAGTACGTGTTATTACGACTTTCGTTGTGGAAAATACTTTATCAGTAAAATGCGAACGTGGACAACGTTGCTTTGGAATTGTCCCGTACAACGTTGCGTCAAGAATAAAAAACAAAGTAACAAACACTGGATAGGCAAAACAAACTAAAGCTAATTATTGATCGTTTTTTTAAAAGTTTTAGTGCAATGGCGGTAAGCTTAAAAAAATTATAAACTAAATTATTGACTAAAACGAGACTAGTCGCTGCTCCTATTCTTACAAGGAGTTAAAAATTAGACCGTTTATAAAGGGACTGTTACTAGCCTTCTCAGTAGACCGAGGAAGTTGTGCTTTTTTTATCGCGTTCGTAGCGTCTTTTATGTGACACAGAAGTACATTTCAAATCGGCCACGTGATGCCAATGGTAAATCTCAAGCTCCCGTATATACCCTATATATTCTATTTTTTTCTAAGTGAATACGCTCTTAATGCGTATTCAGTGATAGTAGTTTGCGGAAACAAAAGGTCACGGAGGAAAGCGACATAATATCGGTGTATATTCTATTTTCATTTTAGTGATCTTCCAGCAGACGTAACTTCTGTCACCATTAGTCTTTACAACAGAAGTTGGCACTCGAGAGATATTCTAATAGGTAAGTACACCAGATCCTCCTACCATTATTAGCCATTCCAAACCGTTGAGGGAAAAGACTGGGTCGAGTTGGTATTGCAGTGCATTATGGGGATTAATAGGGAAGATATTTCCAAGATTGCGTCTTTTTTTAAACGTTATAACTACCCCAAAATACACTGCAAWGCGAACTCGACCCAGTCTTTTCCTCAACCTCGGAATGGTTGATAGAGCAGTTTTCGTATGACTGTGAAAAGCTCACGGCACGAACACGTTCTTGACACGGCAAGGGATACGCCAAACAAATCACATTGCACGAGAATTTACTCTCCATCCAATCAAATACCCAGAACACAGCATAAACACGGCGCGGACACGGTCACGCGAAAGTCACGGCACTTTCATACCAATCACGTTGTGCGAGAAAAAAATCAGCCAATTAAAATTCTAGAAAACATCGCGGTCACGGCACGGCACTGAGCTTTTCACAGTCATGCGAAAACTGCACTATTGAACTAATCATACTTACACGGGGTGGTAAAGAAAAGTACGTTCTTGTCAATGGGGTGGGGGCAGAGTAGGAAGGTTCGACTTCTTTGGAGGAGAGGGTCCTTAGTAAAATAAGTGAAGTGATCAACTATAGGGAGGAATTGGAACTCGACGTTTTTAAGATAATTCGATGAAAATAAATAAAAAGGTCTTTTATTTTCCTCAGGATCATGCACACAAACCCTTCAAAAGCTTCCTAAAGGACAAACAAAAGATGATTGGTATCCATTGATTGCACATGGCAAAGCTGAAGTGGGAAACCTTAGAATGAGAATAAAATTTACGGTTAGTTTTGATCGTGTGTGTTGATATGTCGCTGTATTGTCGTTATTAGTCTTTTTTGTATCTGTGTCTTTGCTTTACCTTTTAAAGTACTGCGTTGTCGTTTTGCTTTTTCCCACATTATCTTTGTTTATGCGTTTGCTTTCCTTATTTGTCTTCTTGTTTGTTTGACTTGATACCTTTTCTCATCAGTTTGTAATCGTTCTTTTTCCCCTTATTTTCTTTATAGCCTCTTTTGTTTTGTTTGTTTGTTGCCTTGTTTGCTTTTTTGTTTGTTTGGAAGAACGATTCTTTCTACATTTTTCATTTTAGTTAATTTTCACTGTCTTTTTTTCATTTTACCTTCGGTTCCAATTTTTTTTCTTTTTTCTCTTTTTGTTCCAGCATGAAATTATTATGCCAGTAGGTGAATATGACAACTTAAAGGAGGTAAATGTTTGAACAAGACGCGCGCTCCTACCATAGTTTACTCCCTAATACCACTCAATTAGTATTTAAAAGTGGTCAGCCAATTAGAGAGCGGGAATAGTTAAAGAAACTAACCCGTTTAATTTAGCTTGGCATTTGTCGTGAAATCTCTTTGTCGTTGCAGATCCTTCTGGATAAAGATCTGTTTGCTGTAACTGCTCTGGGACAAGTCTGCAAAGACCGCGTTTCGCTAGCATCTTCTTTACTCAAGATATTTAGGCACGAGAAACAAGAGCTGTTTCTACTGAAGACTATGAACGCTAAAGAAATAGAAAAGCAAGGTAATACATTACTGCTTTTTTCATAAAAATGCGAACTAGTGGCGAGCTGCACGCTGAAATTTTGTTTTTGGCTGCTGTCAGTTAAAACTTATCAACTACAAAGTTCTCAAGTTTATGAAAATAGTAACACGAATTTAAAATTCCTATTATCTCTCTCTCCAAAATTAAGTACTGTATTGGGTGCCAATGCTGAAAAGGATCTACACCACATATTACGAAATGATTTTTAAAATCGAAGAGATTTAAACAAAATGTACAACGCTAGACGCGTCCATCCCTGACACACATTTAGATAACTCATTTTTCGTTGTTTCTCCACGACTTGCTTTTCAGACGAGCAAGGCACTCTTTTCCGTGGTACGTCTTTGGCGACGACGTTAATGGATCAGTATATGAAGATGGTGGCTATTCCTTACTTACAACAAACTATCAAAGATGTTATTGTTAAAATAATGGAATGCAAACAGTCTTGTGAGGTAAAATTATAAACTTCTTATTAATCGAGCGCGAGGTCTTTAGGAGAAAATATCAGATCAACGTCTTGACAGTACGGCCGAGCCGCTTGAAGAGGTCCGTACATAAAAGACCGTTGTCTGATATTTTCCAGTAAAGACCGAGTAAGCTAGGTTAATAGAACGTGTATTATATGACATTTTTGCTAAAAATGAGACGGTCATAAAATAAGACTCCTTGGGAGCAGAAAATTTGTAATGCGGGAAGATTTTGCCTGCTAAGGAACCAATCAGAGCGCACGATTTTACCGGAAGCAGCGCGTGCCATATGTTAATGAATAATAATATTAGTATTACTGTATAACCTTTAACCACTTTTCTTGTTTACTATGTCCACATCTTCATTCATCCATCGGTCCCTCTATACATTTCACTGACTCATTCCTTCCTTCCCTCATTCCTCTCTCCCATCCATTCATCCCAAGTTTTATTTGTATAGGAAATCGCACGATCTCGAGTACAATTTGGAAATTAATAGACACGAGTAATGTTTTGAAAGTTCTTGTAATTGCACGAGCCTTTAGGTGAGTGCAATTAAAGAACTTTCAAAACATTACAAGTGTCTATTAATTCCAAATTGTACGWGAAGATCGTGCGATTTTTTGTTTATAGTTCACTCAACAAAATTTCAGTAAAAAATGCGCATCGACGCCGTTCATCTTTGTCTGTTTGGCGGCCGATTTTCAGTCCATCGCGCAASTGAAATGCATAAAAAAGATTAGTTCTTACAGCTTTAAAWTTTTATTTATATGTTTTTTAGATACAAAATGATAGAAAATAATTGTTTTGACATTGTTTTGGCCGTGTGGCCATAGCGACTTAATTCGGTACTCCTACGGAGTACAATTAACGCTATAATTGTACTCCTCTCGACCAATCAGAGTCGAGTAATTTTGTTGAGTGTACTATAAGATCCAATATTTTGAAGAGCGGTGCAAAATAAAGTATCAATAATAGATGGTGTTTTCATTGCACTTGTCATTTGTCGAATGTCGTGTTTTGCAGCTCAACCCAGCAAAGATGGAAAAAGGTGCCGACACAGTGATAAATCTCAAGCAATTATTAGAATTTCTCTTTGAAGCAATCGAAGCCATATTCAACTCAGCTGACAACTGTCCTGTGTAAGTAACGTACTTTAATACGAAATAGTAAGGTTTGGTATGTCTGTAGAAACAATGCGTTACATGTCACGTTCACGATGAGTCACACGATATCAACTAAATGGACTACATCCGCGACGATACGACGGCCATCTTTACTAGGGGGCAAAACATAACATACCTGAAAATTACTGCATACTTACTCTGTAAATTGTTTATCGACTACGGATTTATTTACTCTGGACCTGAGTAAATGAATCTGTAGTCGAGGATTACAGAGGTAATTTACACAAGTTTAGTCTAGTTATGGACTTGTGTATAAATTACGAATTCGAAAAAGGCCTACAAATCCTTTCGTCAACGGTTTTTTTTTTGTTTTTGTTTTTTTTTTTTGACTTAACATGCCGTTGTGTCGAATTGTAGGTCACTACAGTATCTTTTTGGATGCCTGCAGCAAAATGTGAGGGACAAGTGGACTGATAATCAAACAGTTCAAACAAGAGTTGTCAGGTATGGAAATACGTCTTTGTGTCCAGCTCATACACATGCCTAGAGTGATTTTACTTCGCCTGCGAAAGAATAGTCAACGTAATACAAAGTAGTAGACCATTTGTTTTACTTGGACTGTTATACACTATCTATACAACTTTGTTTCACAGGCCAAGTAAGATCACTCTTATCTCTATCCATAGCCAAAATCCCCTTATCAATGTGGCATCACAAATTACTACTTCCAAAATCCTTTGGATTTTTTTTTTTTGTCTCTTAATTGAGGCACGTTTTCGTTACTGTTGATCAAAAAGGAAAAATGAGAAAATTCGCGTAACATTCCGGTATAGTGGTACTAAAATGATTGTAAAATGATAAATGGCTAGTCAGTCGCTGGTCAGTACAGAACAACAGTTATTCAAATTGGTCGCCGTTTTTCGATATTTTTTTCTGAAATGGAATGTGTCGTCTATTTCTGTCTGTTATCGTAATCTTAATGAACTACGAGGTCGTTCAATGTTGTTAGTCACTCGTATGATTACAGACCGAATAGTCCCCTTCACAGTTCCCTGCGCCATCTTGAAAGGTAGCCGGGCCTTTGCATCGAAGCAAGACGAACGGTGAGCTTGCAATGAGAGAGACATGTGAATAATTGTCCAAGGTGTTAAAAAAGGCACTTTGAAGGGGACTATTGAACTCCACTCTATCCTATTACCATTATTACGCATGGCTTGGGAAGGCGATGTTGATGGTGGTGCTATCCTTTAACAAAACTGGAATCTTGTCGAAGAACAATCTTTTAAAGAACGAGTATTATAGGTCCATATTTATCTACACACAAAAAAATCTCAATTTTTGTCTTTGCAGTGGTTTTCTTTTTCTACGACTATTTTGTCCAGCTATTATGAATCCCAAGCTATGTAATCTTATGACAGGTAGGTTCAGCGAAAAACACCGCAATTAACTTGATAGCCGAGTTCTCAGTTTGCGAAGAAAAAAGAAACACATTTATTGATGATTTGCTGGCAGTTGTCGCTCATTGACACATAATTTACCTCTCGTTCTTTCTGGTTTTATCTTTTTCTTTACAGACCCTTTGCTTTCCTAGAAGAATTGTTACGGGGGATAAAACGATATGCTGTTTTTTCTYATGAAAAAAAAGATCCATTGTTTTGGAACAATTCCTCTCGGGACTCGGTGCAAGGGATCTGTTATATTTACTTCTATTTTACTCCCTTCATTTCTTTTCCATAAGCTTTTCTTTCTTCCTTTTTTTTTTGGAAATAATATTTCATTTTTTCTTCTTTCAAATATACACTCAATAGCTGTTATTACAGTTGAGCCCGCAATGCGATATTCTTTTGTTTTAAGAATCATCCAAGTGAGGCTATCGGGTCGATACGATGCTTGTTGTCTAATTTACATCTGATTTGCATGCATCCATAATATCTGCTATTGCAACTGCATACACTCATTTTCGGGCTCAAAACAGAGACCACATGAAAGGTGTTGAAATGTCTAYGTCTATCATATTTGCCGTTTCAGCTTTTAATCTGTATCTCAAATGAATACATCGGAGAACAATTATTTCATTTCACAGCATATCTTTCAGTCAAAGTTTCTATGTTCTATGTTCTGAACCTCGTAATGACTTTGCATTTGAGTGTGCATATAAAATCAATAATCGTTTAATCTTTTGATTACGTCCACAGATATCCCCTCGGCCACTGCAGCCCGAACTCTCACGCTGGTGGCCAAATGTTTACAAAAATTAGCGAATCTCGTGGACTTTGGAGCCAAGGTAATGAGTTTTGCACTAAACAGCACCAATAGACAACTCAGTTCAGTACAGTGCGTATAGAGCTTTTTCACTCACGTGAGAAGGCGGCGACTTTCTGCACAGTACGTATTTGCATAAAAATAGAGATCAATTCCCGGAGGATAGAAAATGTATTTTTTAGTACCCCATAATGGCCACTGTGTCACGTGACGTGAAAACGCTCTATATAGCTTAAATGTACTTACGTTTTAGAGTTTTCAAGGTAACCGCTTCTACTATCCATGAGAAGAGTTGCTTTTGATTGGCTGATTCTGTCAGCGTCACTGATATCGTTACATCCAAAACTAATTCTGACAACAATTTGATGTTAGTAACTACTTTTCGTTCATTTCCTTTTCACCAGGAATCTTGCATGACTCCAGTCAATCCATTCATGCAGAAAAATAGGGACAAAGTTATAGCTTTTATTAATGAAATTTCGGTAAGTGTTATGCACCTACGGCTTTCTCGTTCTATCTATTATTAGAATTTTATTATCACCCTGTGCAGCTGTGGGCTTACAGTTTAGAATAGATAGATTGCTGTGCGCCTTTCAGTCTCATGGAAAAAATGGTCCGTCGATTTGAAAAGTCATGATCGCTGAACTGTTCATATCAGACGAGACTATTCATCCGCAGTTACCCGAGTTTATATGCTATTTTGCCTTCAGTCTGTTGATATTAGAATGTGCGCCGTGCACTTTTCAGTCTTCGTTTGAAGTTTCCGAAGCAATGTGCACGTATTTCCAGCGTCTGAAGAAAATCACGATAGCGTGACAGACCTTTAAAATAATGCTTGGGCATTTTAAACGATGGTGCGTAAGCGTAGCGCAGAATGCGGGAAGAGGAGGGGACAGTGTGTTTAGTTTTTCGAATTCGGGTTTTTGACCATACAAAATTAGAGCAAGTAGCGCCAGCCCCTACCCCTCCCTCCCTCCCTTTCCCCTACACGCACGCTCATAGTAGTGCTAGTCTTTCTCATACTTTGTAATTTATCGTTGTCTCTCCAGTCCGTTAATGATTGCCCAGATACACATGAACAAGTCTCGTCTGATCCAGCACGTGACTTGGCATCGCTTCAAGATATCTGTGTTGTGTATAAATCTGACCTCAAACAACTCAGCACCACCCAGGTATGGCATTTAATGATAAACAATATAAAAAACCCATTTTTGATAATAGATTTGGCCTTGTTATTCTTACCCTCTTCCTAACCTCTACTCAGTGCCAGAGGTTCTCTCGTTCCCAGTGCACGCGCTCAAGGAACTTGAGCTTTAAAAAAATGGGGTCGAGTTGTTATTGCAGTGCGTTGTAGGACTGTTTTAGGGAACATATTTTGAAGATGGTGTCTATTTCGTCCCTCAAACAATCCCACAATGCACTACAATGCCACCTTGGCCCACTTTTTTCCTCAACCTCGGAATGGCTAATATCGCCGGAGTTCGCTCTTGCCACATTGAAACCAATGACCAAGAAGCACTGACGAAGTAAGAGAGCCTCTGCGGCAAACTTAGGTTGGATTAAACCATCAAATCATGCATTCTTTGCACTTGGGATTTAACATAAGAATCCACAGAGTCACTCTTCTTCCACTGGATTCCAAGTGGAATTTAGAAATGTTTACGGAGGGAGGAAAACTGGGGAACCCGTACGAAAACCCTCGAAGTACAGGAGAGAATAAGCAACTTTACTCACATACGACACTGAACCCGGCAGGACTCGAACCCGGGTCGCATTGCTTCCCAGTAACTAATTCAGTTTCCTCCCCCCCCCNNNCTCTTTTTCCTAGGCACTACAGGGGACACAAGGATATCTCTCTCTCTCTCTCTCTCTCTCTCTCCCTCTCCCTCTCCCTCTCCCTCTCCCTCTCCCAACAACAACAAAATGGTGGTGTTTAAATTTAATGTGTTTACTTTAGGCGCTGTAAAACACAGCGATTTATCGTAATTTTTACTTGTCTCGTGAAAGAAATATTTATGTTGAAATTATATTCAATCAAATCAAGCATTTGTGCGACTGATGTCGTACGTGCAATAATGTTCTTCACGAGACAAGCTGCTCAAGAAATCATTTACAGCGCCTAAAAGTTGTTCTAATATCATCAAGGACTAAAACATAGGTTGGTTTATTTTTAGCCTTGTCTCAAAAAGCTTGTTGCAGTAACTGAAGCATTGCAGCAACGCGAACAGCAGTTCATTCGGGATTCTCGATGATGTCACAAATCACGTGTCTAATGGTAAAACTGGTCTTAAAAATTGTTGGGGGAAAATACCCCAAAAAATGAATATATAAAAAAAAGAATATTTGAAGACTAAAAAAATCAATTTTTAATAATTTCTAATAATTAATAATGAAGTTTGCATCGACCATTTATTTTTCTAATGCAATTTTGTGCTCACAGTTAGAGTGAAGGCATTTAACCCTTGAAAAAGATATTAGACTGATAACACATTGTTTTTTGTGTCTATTTGACTGTTTACACGTTGACTAGTATTTCTTATTTCACGGGTTAAATGTCTTCACTCAAACCTGTTTACCTAATACCAGTAGTGATCCCTCCCGCTTTAAATAGTACCAAAATAGTTCCAAATTACCGCTGTGTTTCCTTGATTACAGAATMAATTACGCAGGGTTAGCCTCGAATTAGTCTAAATACTCAATGAGGGTGCCAATGGGTGCCGAATGTCAGTTAACTGTAATTAATTATACGAGATCTTGCCATAATATTAACCAAAATAATGAAATATCAGGTCTTAATTTCGGCGATTATTTTGATAGTCATTTTTGTCGAAACTTAATGAGAATTGAATCAGAAAGAAAGAAATTTGTTTGTCAAACTTTATTGTAATGTAAGTTTTCATTTAAATCACTAATTAACATCAATAAGATATTACAGCAGTTTCGTATTCGATGTATACCGCTGTTTTTTAAGACCACAGACTCATTTGCACAAACTTAGCCTGTGTTATATGTTAGCTATTCACATATACCATTAAATGTCTCTGTGATTTCAAAACATTTTATCGTTCAACTTGCACATATTTTTAGTTTTACAGTTGATTTTTGAAAATGATTTGCTGTTAAGCGAGGCTGAGTTTTTACGAATGAGTCTTTTTAGTCATGAAACGGGAAAAGGAACTATTACTGAGTATTAGAGAGGGGACTGAAAAAAAGGAACGAACACAAACATTGATATTTCAAAAGTACTCATGTCTGTTCATATTATATTGTTTTTGAATATAAAGTATAGACTACTTTAACATTGCAGTTGGCAAAATAAGACACCTTTTCAAAATGCATTCCGTACACACTTTTCTAGACGCACCACAATAATAGCTGTAAGTATAATGTTATGAGAAAAAAAATAATTATGTAAATAACAGTTAATGAATCATACCACGCGACATGACATAGCGTAGTCAATAATAGCTACCGGTAAAGGTACCGGGTGATAGCCCAAACAAAGTAATTACAGGTTATTAGTTTATATTAGAAAGATTATGTCGAGGATTAGAAAAATTCACATGACTTTTGAGAGTACTGAAAAACGTTTAACAACATTTCTGGCAAAATTTTAAAACGGTAGATATTGTAATATTAATGCTAGATTCTGTAAATTTAAAATATCTTTCTTAATAAAACAAACATTTGTGAATCGCGTTTCCAAATTGCTCAATGTATTATTTAAAAGCCCTGTTACACGTTACTCCGTTTTCTCCATATTCTGCGAACTCGGAAGTTGCGAGCTGCAACTGAATTTTTTTTTTTTCGCCAATCGAAAATAATCAGCTATTGTTCGGTGTTCAATTATGTGTGAGTTCGTAGAATATGGACGACGACAAGAATAATGATAATAATATTATTTTACAACCACAACTTCCCAATACGGGGCTCTTCCATGAGGTTCCCTCCACACGCACTACCACTACATTCTATATTTACAACATACAACACTCAACTCACATTTTATGGAGGAAGGAAACATTCGCAGTAAAACTTTTAGCAGAAATGATTTGTGTGCAACACCATTGCGAGAAACGTTTCACGTATAGTGAATGTGTGAGTGCATCCATATACACTTATTTCAATAAAGTTAGTCACCTGAAAAGCTACTAAGCTTAGACCGGCAAGGATTATGGGTAGATACATTTTACATGTTTCAACCGCTTGATAACTGTTGGTGGACTTTGAGATCTTTTACCAGTTACAGTCTCACCTCCTCTGAGCATCCTCAACTGCTGCAGCTTTTTTCAAAAGCTTTACTTGTTGGATATAAAATATTTCCCACGATTCTCAGCGATMGCAGCTTTGGTTTTTGGTGACTAATATAACTTTATTGAAATAAGTATATAAAAAATAAATAAAATAATAAAAAATAACAATAAAATAAAAAATTAACTAACAAAATTGTACAAATTGGTGCAGAGTTTTGTAGGTCCACGGTCTACTGAGGTCTACTAAATTTAGTTATTTATTTGCAAATTTGTGCAATTTCTTACAAAGTTTTTCAAGGATAATATATGGTTTGTAGTCTATCATCCGTCGTGTTCATATAGACCCCTTACAGTACGTCGGAATGCAGCTCAATTTTAAGGACATAACGATAGGTTTCCAATTCCTATAATATTGAAATGTTGAAAAAATAAAACAGTTGTCGGATTCGGCGAATAACAAAMAAAGAATTAATATTTATAGACTAGCTTCGGTGCGCGGATTAAATGCCATGCCGATTGGCCCGTTTCTGCAGACTGGATCGTTACTCAAGAATGAAGCGAGATGACGTTTTACCCCCGTCTCTAGACCATAATCCTTTTCACACTGCTTTTGTTCTTTAATTATGAATATTGTTCCTGTATTCTTTAAGGAATCAAAARATTTAATATGAAAGAATTTTAAAAACTATTATGGTATAGAATCGGGGTAAAACATCATCTCGCTTCAGGCTTATTGAAAGGAATTCTATTCAATTTAAAGTACGCTATTTTATAGAGACTTCAAGCCATTCTCGTCTGTTTAAAAAGATATTTTAGCTTAATAGCCCGTTAAGAAAATTAAGAATCAAAAGTTTGTTTGAGTAGATAGAATGTTTAGGCCACCCATCCAAACGCTAACCCTCCTCAGTCGGGCTTGACTCAGTATCTTCGATCCCCAAGTTTATCCCACTGGACCACACTTCAATATACGTAATCAGCATAACAATAGCCGTGAAAACAATGCACCAGATAGACTAGACTTTTTAACATGTTTTTTTCAACCGATTCCGTGCGTGGCAGAGATGCAAGGGATTAGCCGATATGGTCTGGGGGCCAGCTGGTCTCTCCCCTGATGCTTCGGCTAGAACATTTTCTTGCGTAATTCGTGCACCCAAGGGCAGAAGGATTTAATCGCCGTCAGGTCCGAAGTCCATACGACGCCTCAGCTCTGCGGATGTCTCGGGGGTATGGCAAATTAGAATCGATTTTTTGTGTTTCTTTTTTTGTTTTTGTTTTTTTAGTTGTGTTTTTAATTTTCTGTTGGAAGGTTCGAACCCCATCGTATTCAGATAAGATTTTTAAATGCATATTATTAAGCAATATAGTCTTAGAAAAAGTGAAAAAATTCCTTTTTGTCCACATTCAAAATTAACAGCTTCTTTAAAACGTTCTAGCTCATTCGGATTACATCAAATTGAACTGAAACTTTGGATAAGTCATATATCACTTGAATCACTATTATACGATTCAAAAATTTACTTCCGTAACTTGCGCTTTTGTAATCGATGGCCGAGTGTCCGAGTAGTCACCGAAGGTTTGCCGAGGGTAATCGTCGATTCGTCGGTGTTTTTCCCGTTAGTAGGGGAGCCGCGGTTGAAAGGTTGACGACTTTATGTATCCTTCCTTAGTAATTTAAGCTTCATTTCCTTCTTTGATGGAGAGAGGATCTTATAGGAATTGATATTTTCCTTAGATGGACGTCCTTCGACCCCCAGTCGTTTGGATTAAGGGACGTTGCTACAGAAAGCTTCCCTTTGAACAAAACAGCAGTGAAACCAATGAAAATTCGACGCCTTACTACGAACAAGGTACAGTTTTAGAGATTTCGTAGCCTATAATACAGGATGAAATAAGCTATTCGTATTTAGAGTTTAAAATTTATACGTTTTTTTTGTCTTAATTATCGACCGAGAGTTTACCACAGGGAACCCAAATTATTAATATGAAACGTGATCTGATAGGTACAGAATTTACATGTGCAAGACCATATTTCATATTCGATTGTCATGTCAATGTTTGTATTTGGGCTAGTTGTGTAACTGGGAATAGGTAAATAACTCGTACATACTAGTAACATTACCATTTTTTTACACTTTCTGATTGGCCGAAGACATACCAGCAAATTACACCAACAAATTACAAATGACTTGCATGTGGACTCCAGTGCAAGCTAGGAAAAAAATTACAAAAAAGCATTCGTTTTAAAATGTTCCGATATTGTTTTGTGATTTGTCTTCTTATTTACCATGATGTGAATATTTTGTCCAACTGTTGAGGTCATAATATAGAAAACAAGAGGACTTAGTATGCAAAACCATCAGAAATTTGTCATTGATCTTGAACAACACAAATAATTATTTGTTGTTTACTTATTTTACTCCTTTATTTCAGACGAAATGAATTATGAAGATGAGACATGTGATGCTAGTGATGTGGTTGAAGAGACCAAGAGTGGTTTTAGGACAGTGATGGACACACCAAGTGCTTTGTTTAAGTTTGTTATTGGTAGAAAAGCAGAAACTAAGAAGAAAATTGAAATGGAAACTGATACTAGGTTATTTATTCCTAGCCAGGGACAAGCTGGAGACATAGGTATTTGTTGGTTGATTTATTTAAAGGGAAGAGTCGTATGTACAGTTATGCAATGAAAATGTGACTAAGATTGTGGACATGTTTCATTTTGTATAAATTTCATTCATTCATTTATCCATAAATTTCATTTATTCATTCATCCATCTATCTGTCCATCTGTCAATCCATCCATCTGTCTGTCCATCCATTCATCTATTTGTCCATCCATCCATCCCTCCATCCCTCC